GATGGAACTAAAAAGGTACATAGCTTGTGCAATATGTAGAATGTTGAGTGCCATCTGTTTTGTTTTTGATTCATCACTTAATAAATAGCACTCACAGGATCTTACAGATGTTATTCAAGTTGGAAGATGGTCTGGTAATAGAAACTGTTCTGATACCTTGTGAGCGGGGCAGGAACACTGTCTGTATATCTAGTCAAGTAGGTTGTGCCATGAATTGCCAGTTTTGCTATACCGGCAGGTAAAGCTCTAGCAGCCTTTTAACCTTTTGTTTATTTTTCCAATTTACAGTTCTTGAATTGGTTCCCTTTGTTTAAGTACATGAATCTACTATGCAGAATGGGTCTGAAGAGAAACTTATCCACTTCTGAGATAGTTGAGCAGGCTGTTTTAGCTCGACGCTTGTTATCCAGTGAAGTTGGACCAATTAGCAACGTTGTGTTTATGGTATGTGTATGCTTGAAGTGATTTCCTGAACTGAACATGTAATTTATTTTTGTGTATACATACAGTATTAACCAATAATTAACTTATGGTGTGGTGAATACCCTCGCTTGATGCAATGTGAGCAGCTTTGCTAATTTACCAAATCTAGCCCGCTTTGCTAGTATTGCTGAATTCTGTCTTCCTTGTGACCTTCTCCTAGGGCCATTATTCATGCTTCTCCCTGTTATTTAATCAGGCGTCATGGTTGACTGGAGTTGGTCTTTCTCTTCCACACTTAACAGCTATAATATTATGAAATCCTGTCTGAGACTTTGGCTCTATATTAATGAGGAATTAGAACAAAGACCCTTTGTCCCTTCTTCCTTATCTTTTTCTGTTATACTAAGCAATCAGTATTTGCTATTAGCAAATCTTGACAAATAACTCACTCCAGGGAATGGGAGAACCGCTTCACAACATTGAGAATGTCTTGAAAGCTGCAGACATATTGGTAGATGAACAAGGGCTTCATTTTAGTCCTCGAAAGGTCACCGTTTCTACTAGTGGGCTTGTGCCCCAGCTTAAGCGGTTTCTTCGCGAGTCCAATTGTGCTTTGGCAGTCAGTTTGAATGCTACAACTGATGAGGTATTTCCCTTGAGCAACTCAATTCTTGGGACGACAATGAAGAAACAAATAGCGTCATAATTTGATTCACACTTGTGAAATATTGCAGGTCAGAAGTTGGATCATGCCAATTAACCGCAAATTTAACTTGAACTTGCTTCTTGGAACACTAAGAGAGGAGCTTCAATCAAAACATAAATACAAAGTTCTGTTCGAGTATGTAATGCTTGCCGGAGTTAATGATAGGTATATACCTTGTTTTTTCTTCAATAGTATTTATTTTAGTCCCCAGTGTATTTCTTGAACACAAATAGTCCTTTATATTTGTAAAAAAGAGTGTCACCTATGGTCCCGTACTCCCATCAAACGGAACACACTTAAACTAACTGAAATATAAAAGAACTTAACAGATCCCAGGGGAACTAAACAAATAGACACAGACAAAAAGCCTATTCATCTTCAAGCTTTCTACTGAGACATGCTCTAGTTTCTGCTTTAGTTTGGTGTCCAAATACTCACCATTGTTGTTTCTTTGGTAACCAGTTTATCCATCAGGAGCCTCAAAATTCAAACTGAAAATCCATCTAAACCAAGGCTCCCAAATATATCCACATACCGAGAATTTGAATGCTTTTATATCCGATTTTGACTAAAGATAAGCTGTAGAAAGAAAATGCTTGTAGAATAATACGGGGAGATAGCTGTGAGTGGGTGGTTTCATACTAAATGATGCTTTCTTTCTTCTGCCTCTCTTTAATTTTTTGTTCTTTCATGATTATTTTTGGAATGAGTGTAAATATGTAGGAAAATGAATAAATGATGTTCTGATTTCAGAGATGGAAAAGAAAATTGTTTTTTTGCTGGAGTTCTCCGAGAATTTTACATATGAAAAGTGACTCAAAGAAATTAGAGAGATAGAGATTGGGTGGGGGTGGGGGAGCAGACAGGAGGCCTTTTGATTTTACCAAGTGTTTCTCATGTTTTCTTTCAAGTGGGAAAACCAGCAAGATGATTGATATCTTCATCGTTTTACTATTCAGCACCCTTCCATTAATATGATGAGTGTGCTGTTTGTTTGGATGTGTTCCGTTGGATGTGATAAAAAGTTACCCTCTTTTGCAAAGATAAAGGACTATTTGTCCATGGCTATATAAATAAGTATCAAAATACACCGACAGTCATACATAAGCACAATTGGGGCTTTTCTCATTTCTACAACTTTCCTTTTTTGTAAAGCTATGCCATTGTTATAAATTTATTCATACTGTTCAGTCTAACAAAATTCTATCCCTGGAGAGAGGAAGAGTAATGGCTTTGTGGTTGGTAGAGTTAATCGGTGCCATAGCAGTTAAGTTGTTCTATTTACCTTTTAAGTTGAAAGCAAAAACCAAAAGGTTGCATTTACTGCTCTACTCCTGCAAAATCTGGTCTATAGCGTTACTTCTAATCCTTTCAACTTTTCTACCATGTGTTGTACCAATGTGATTTTTGCAAGATAATGTCGTCATTTTTGTGCATGACAAGTATGTTCAGAAAGAGCATTACTCATGTGTTTCTAGACATCTAGAAATGAATTCTTGATGAAGCTAATAAGAGTAGAAACTAGATGATTATTTAGGAAAACATGGAAGAAACTTGAAATGTATATATAGAGGAAACTGTAAATATACTAAAAATAAATGCTGAGAAGGCCTTTTTTTAAGAAAAAGATAATGAAAAGCATGGGCTGACTTGCAGCATAATTGTACCAACTCTACCATAGTAACCCTACATTTTGCGATTCCATGGTGCATGTCTAATGTGCATGTCCAATCACACTAAACTTCCTCCGGCTTCTGGTTCCCCTCCATGATCCACTGGTTCAACCCATTGCACAGAACAAAAGAGCCGTGGTAACCCTTTCCCAACTTGCTTGGGATTTGTAGTGCAATTGTTGTTGTTTGTTGCAATTCCTCTATCACTTTGCACAGTCATGTATCTATTTGCCGTATACGCCAATGAATGCAGTTTCTTCACTGATTAACCCCTCCTTCCGGCTTCATGGAGAATGACTGTGATGATGTTTTACTCTGATGATTTTGGTGGATAGTTAATGTAGTTTTTTTATCTACTTGCATAGCCCTTGCTTTTCCCCTCTAGATATGAGTTTTACAGAATCAGTTGGCTTGCTCAATTAAGCAGAATATATATGTCTTTGTTTTCTATATCGTGTAAATTCTCATTGTTGAAATTTTATTTGCAGTGTTGAGGATGCAAAGAGACTAATCGATCTAGTCCAGGGCATTCCATGCAAGATTAACCTGATCACTTTTAACCCTCATTCTGGATCCTTCTTCAAACCAACTACAAGAGAGAAGATAATCGAGTTCAGAGACATTCTTGCTGAAGCAGGATGTGTGGTGCTTTTTCGATGGAGTAGAGGAGATGATCAAATGGCTGCCTGTGGTCAGTTAGGTAAACCAGGTGAAATCCAAGCTCCCGTGCTTCGCGTGCCTTCCCAATTTCAAGCAGTACTGGAAGCTGCCGCGTGATTTCGTGTGCTCTTTTTTCAAGCATGTTCATCCTGGTTTTGTCCAAAATGTCTCACAGTTTCAAACTTCAAAGTTGTATGCTCATGAATCAATCACTGATCTTGTTCAGGTTAGATAGTTTATGCAGTACTTTTTAAGATTTCTTTCTTCTTCAACTCAGATCTTCATTAGGCGTCCTGAGAATTTGGCCATGTTTCATTATGAAATTCGGAAAAAAAGTGAAAAATTTTCATTGTCAATCGCCTCCTCAACACGTTTGTCAATTCACCATATTATCGTTGTACCTCTTACTCGGTAGCTATAAAACAATCACCATCAATTTACGAGATGAATTTTTAACTTGTAATGATATTTTTTTAAATTTGAGATCTCGAATTTGAGTCTTAGATATGAAAAATCCTAATCCTGATCGAACTAGTTGGGTTCAACTATAACTATAGTTGGTATTGCTTAATGAGATATAACTTGTGGTTTGACACAAATATCAACACTAGGCATTAGCTTTATTTTAGTCCAATATCACTCCATCAATCAAATGGATATTAAATAAGTTTTTACTTCTTTTTTATTTTAATTGCTTAGTAATTAACTCTCTTCAACTACCCTCTTGCTCAATTAATTTGAATTGACATCACAATTAAAACCGTCATTTGTTTATTCTTTTAACAAACGAATGAGACGTTAATATAATTTTTACTTCGCTTAATATCAAGCAAACAATTCGTTAATTTCTCTTTGATTGTATTAGGCTATTTATGAACTAGTTGTTTGGGCAAAAATGTTTGTTATAGTGTGTTCAACTTAGTTATTTGGGCATAAAGTTACTCTTAGATAGACTAAATGTCCACATTATTATCTACGGTAATTTTACGTAGTGTGTTCCATATGGCTTATAAATTTATTTTTATCGAATTATTATATATTATTATATAAAAAACACCGTTATACGAACAAAAAGTTGCAAGAGTTATAAATATGGAAAGGTCTCCTAAGTTGGCATGCGATTCACAAATTAATAATATTTTCATAGAACAACCCTCTTTTGCTGGCATTTAAATTGAAAACAAAAAATATAACATAATAAAGAAAAAAGAGGATCATTTAAAATATCTTTACATTAATGCAAATTGTTAGATCTTTTCTTAGATCATTTTAAAAATATTTTATATTTGACTAGCTAAACTTTAAATAGATCCTTGATTTTATAACTTGAATGAAATATATCCTAAATTCTCGTCAAATATAGGAGTGTTTTTAATAGTTTCTCTTTGTTTTTTATTAAGAGTCACATGAGACAACTCATTATGTCACGTGACAAATAGAAGATGTATTTAAGTTCTGTTAATAAAAATTTAAGTATGTGAGTGTGCCCTCATCTCAAATTACTTGTCATGTTTTACTATTTATCGATTTATAAATAATTAATTAAAAAGTGAAACGTGACAATTATTTTTGAGGCAGAAAGTAATTATTTTAGGTTGTGTTATAACACGCACCTTCACTGCGCGTACAGTAAGAAACTTATTTTATTTTGCGTATCACCGTGACTTGACCACTCACTGCAAATTCCTGTACCTGACGCCTTTCCATCTCCTCTCTTCATCTTTTTTCCCCTATTTAAAGCAAGTAACAGAGCAGGTGCAGGCGAACTTCTCTTGAACAGTTACCAATGGGAGATTGTAGCAACAGCAAACTCTTACCAATGTGCGACTCCGGCGAGGCTCCGTTCGACACACGGCGGTACTATAAGCATATTCATGATAATGTTCATGGCAACATCTATCTCGATAAGGTACGGTTTCTTATTCGTTTTTTTTTGTTATGCTTTGCATGCTTTGATTCTTATCAAAATCGGAGTTCCTTTTTTTTGCTTTTGAGAAATTTTGAGTTTATTTCTACTGCTTTTGAATATGAAATGAAGAGATAAGTTCGGTGATTCGTATTTAGTTTTTCCAGTTTGAGTGTGAAATTTCTGATTCCCTTGTTCTGTTTTGCACGTTTTAATCGTTTAACTCAGTGTTCGTGTTTGCCTTTTTAGCATAATATTACTTTATTATTTGCATTTCTCTCTCGTGTCCGGTAGTGAGGTTTCGTAGCGTATACTTTATTATTTCGCGTGTCGCTGTTCTTATCAAAATCGGAGTACGTGTTTGTTTTTCAGCACAGTTACTCACTCACTCTTATTTCGGTTCTGCTTTTCGTTTGAATCGAAGAAGTTGATTTGATAACTTAAAATTATTTTTCCTTTTCGAGTGGTGAAATTCCACCACGTATGACTTGTACTCTGCTATAATGCTATACGTTATTTCTGAACTCGGCGTTCATCTTCGTCTTTTTCAAATTATGTCACGTTTTTTTTTGGCTTTTCTGGTGAAGTTCGATTGATAATTTGAAGTGCTTTTCTATTCCTGACCGGAAACCTCATATAAATACAGCATAAAAAATTTAAAAAAGAGATGCGACGTCATGCGGTATGAGAAAAAGGAAAAGTTCGGTGGCTTATACATGTTGGTTGTATGCTATGCGTGTACGCAAATATTTGTGTAGTGGGAATAGTGATGCACTTTCTCTCAATAGTTGCTAGTCAAGTCTATTTGGGCCTATAAAAGGTTTTGACTTCTTTCAAAACCTTGTGTGATTTGTTTACTCTTGTAATTTTGTTGATTCTCTTCTTTTAAAGTAGCATAGCACCTATTCATCTGTCTTGAGTTATTTAAGCGTAACACTCTTCGAATTTCGATAGTTTAATTTTTGAAATAAGATTATATATATGAAAATTATGTAAAAAGTATATTAAGTATTAATGATTGACGATTCAAAATACTTAAATGATATATGAAAAAATTATGATAAAAAATAAATTTGTTTAAATTTTGAAATCAAAGCATGTAAATTGGGACATATTACTTACTAAGTAGATAGGTAAATTTTCGTAGAGCAACAGATTTCCTTCACTAAATTCATCATTCATTGTTTAACGTTTGATTCTAGTGAAAAAGATTTTTTAAGTCAAAACAGAGTTTATATACGGCATGTACGATATATGTTTTCTATAATATCAGCACTTAGTGAAGATATCATATTTTCTATATTTATACTGTATTTAACAACAGTTCCTCCCTTCGATTGCAGCAAGCTCTGAATTTCATCGACACTGAACAGTTTCAGAGGCAAGCTTAATTTGTTTGTAAATTGTTTCTTTTCTGCTCCAGACATTTTTGATTGGCTGGAAATAATTCCAATTGTGTTTTCTTGTGTATGTTACAGGCTTCGTGAATTGAAGCAGCTAGGTACGCATATCCTTTATTTCTGATCAAGTTTCCCTTAATGATCAGGTGAATGTGTGTACATGTGAAGCTGTTGTTTAAACAAACTTTTTAATGTTTAGGATAAAGATTTTAGGGTTACTGGTGAAAATAAATATTCGAGGCTTTGCAAATGGATATATTTAAGGCTTGCAGGATAAATTTGGCTGTGTAATGGCACAAGCACATATTTAGTTTCAGCAGCTGTTGAACAAGTTGCAGGTGGATGTATCTGCTTTGATGTCCTTCCATATTAGAGAAGTCCAGTAATAGTTTTCTGAATAGCTGCACATAGTTCCATTTAACTTTACTCTCATGGCCATTTTATCGGCTTATGATGTGGCCATCTGGACTACTAGCTTGATCCCTGACTTTGTTATTTTATCGTCAACTTGCTCAAAGTTTCGCAACAACATATTCTTCAAAAAAAATAAAAAATTAAAGAGGATAAAACTAAAATGAGAAACAAGATTTCTACATATGGTGCAGGTGGTCATTTTCACTTTAAACTCCTTAGGCATCAACAACTAGACTTCATCATATCTTATCTCAATCATCTATATATGCACATTGATTAATGCTTAAAGCAATCAATTTTTTAGATCATAACTGCAAGTTGTCTTTTCCGTACTAATCTTCTTTTAGAAAAGGAGTACTGTGAGGTTCTTGTGTATCATCAATTAAAGTTATTGCTAGCAATTTGGTCCTGTAGCAGGAACAAATATACTTCTAATTGAACTGTATTAGAGCCAGTACACTTGTAAAGGCAGAAACTTTTCTGTTTCTTGGTGTTTCATGTCAGATACAAATAATCTGGATTAGAACTTTTTCAGAAAGTATATGCTCTTTTCCGGTGCTTTGCCAGCATTTGGGATTTAAACTTGTAATATTGACTCAAACTCAATTTCTGTCCTAGGTCTTGGATACATGGTTTATCCTGGGGCTGTGCACTCTCGGTTTGAGCATTCCCTAGGGGTCTATTGGCTGGCCAGTGACGCTGTACATAGACTTAAGACCTATCAAGTAGGAATATATCCTAATATCTTGGCCCTATATTTGATAAAATGTTTTGATGGATGTGCTGTGGTTGTAGGGACAGGAGCTTGGTATTGAATCTTTTGATGTACAGACCGTGAAACTTGCTGGTGAGTCAAACATACCAGCTAAGTTTCATTTTCTCAACAGTATCTGTCCATTGTTCTTACTTGAGTTCATCTAGGATTACTACATGATGTGGGTCATGGGCCATTCAGTCACTTGTTTGAGCGTGAAATTCTTCCTCGGGTTCGCAGCGGCATTAAATGGTAATTGTTAATAAAAACTCTTTCCTTTTCATCCATCAGAACTGGAGGATTGGATGCTTCCCTTATAGAGATATTTGGGCTGCTTGGCTCTATAAGTATATTCCTAAAATTCTTGTTCTTATTGGGCATCAATGCATGATTGTGTAGGCTTTTTTCTACCTATCTCTGCCGCTTTCGTCCATTTTAAGTGAAAGTACTCGTTTGTCCTCTTCATCCAAAATTAGTCCACCACTGAAAGAGTCTGTATGACATTACCATAACAATCACTATTCATGGGTTATATCCTTATTTCCCCAACAGAAATATTTGCAGTATTTGTGGCTTCAAAAGAATCCCATCACTAAAACAAAGCTATTTATGTACCTTTCCAAACATTGAGCAACATATTTTGTTTAAGAATTTCCTTATTTGAGTCTATTTTTCTAATACTTCCTGAATGGAAAAATTTCAGGTCCCATGAGGATATGTCTTTGAAGATGATAGACTACATTGTTGATGAGAATAGCATTGATATTGATTCTGGCACTTTGAAGAAAGTAAAGGTCGTATGAAAATAACTCATGTTATTTATGATGCCTTTTTGCATCCTTAAATCAAACATTCCCTCCCTCTAAAGATGCAATCTCAGCAGACTAGTATTAGTTGCCCTAAGTTTGTCTGTCTGCATAATTTAGTATGCATTTGGAATGTTATTTTCTTGAGCTGTACCTCATGCTTTCAGAATTATATAATGTAAGATTGAAAACCTTTCACGTTCATTATCATGAGCTTTATTTTCAGTTTGTTTTGGAGCTTTGTTTTAGATTCCTTTGGCTTTCCTCTGAGTGGTATTAAATCTCTCCTCTTTTCTACTCAGGAAATGATAGTTGCTTCTGAGGCAGGTAAATCAGTGGTAAGCATTTTTATGGGAGGATTTGAGTTGATGTGTTAAGATGTTAAAAAAGCTAAGATCTGACACATACTGAATTCTGTTGCTTCATTACTTGCTGTTATACAGAGCTCAAAAGAGAAGCAGTTCTTGTATGATATTGTTGCTAATGGACGGAACGGAATAGATGTTGACAAGTAAATTCCCTTTTCCTTACTTTCTTCAGATGCAACTTAAATTATGTGCTTGCAGCTGCATTTGATGAACCAATCTTTTTGCAGATTTGATTACATAGAGCGTGACACCAGAGCTTGTGGTCTTAGGTGCAATTTTCAGTTCCAGAGGCATGATTTTCATACTAAATTTGATCCTTCTTTCTTTTTATTACTGAAAAAATTGTCCCAGAATTGTTACTAACATTGGAAAAGCCAATACTACATTTTTTGTTATTTGCAGGCTAATGGAAACAATGCGTGTTATAGACAATGAAATATGTTACAGGGCAAAGGAATGTTAGTATTCTTGAAGCTATTATTTTACATGAGAAATTAACATCTTCCAGATGTAGGAAAAGTTCTCACTTTGCATTTGATGATTTTGTTTAGATCTTACGATCCACAAGCTATTTTCCACTCGTGCTGATTTGCATCGTACAGTCTATACGCATCCAAAAGTGAAGGTTCAAAGAATTTCACCTACCTTTGTTCCTTGTTTCAAAATGTTTCCACTTATTACTACTTAAAACTCACTGTGAGCTTGTTTGTCTTCTTTTTCTATCTTATAAATTTTAGGCAATAGAATTCATGGTCGTGGATGCTTTGATAAAAGCAAATGACCATCTTGAAATTGATTCATACATTGATGAACCAGCAAAGTACTGGATGGTTAGATAATCTATATCATTGATACAAACCAAAATACCATGCCTGTATGAACTTTAAAGCATCAGTTAATTAATACTGAACAATGTACAGTTAGATGATACAATTGTCAAAACAATTGAAGCTTCTACCCACCAAGATCTAGAGGAATCCAGAAATCTGATTCGTCGAATTCGAAGGAGGGACATATACCAGGTATCCATTATATAGCCAGATATCCAGAGTTGTAATTCCATAGAAAAACATATACAGCTTCAAGTTGTTTCTATTATATATATATATATATGTTCTAAGGATCTTATTTTACGGAACTGTTCATATTATCTTTTAACATGTACTGAACTCCTATGCTATTCTATTAAACTCGTTCTTTATAAGTTGAATGACATCAATTACCAAGTTGTTTACAGCAAGGACAAAATGGCTAAAATATTTTTGCATCAATATTCTGACAGTACTGTAATGAGTTTACTGTGTCCAAGGAGAATCTGGAGTACTTCAAAAATGTAACGGCTCAAGACATAATTTGTTCCCAGGTCCTTCAGATAACTCTAATATCCTCTTTTGTTTACCTGATAGTGATGATCACTCCCTCACAGAGTAATTTTTTTATTCAGAATTCTGATGCTCATTTGAATGAGGAAGATGTTATTGTTACGAATATCAAAATTGATTTGGCTAATGGAAGGAATAATCCATTGGAAAGGTACCTTTCTTTTCTTCTCGTGTTATTGTTCTGATGATCTCATGCTCGTGTGATGACTAAAGCCTTTTCTTTTCTTCTGTTCATGTGGTCCATTGTCATGCAGGGTCAGCTTCTTCCAGGTATTATAATTTGCTTCGTCTTGTTTACTTTCAAGAAACTTACACAAAACTAGACAAACATAAATTTGTTTTAGGACTAATTGTCTTCTTTGCTTGAAGCTACAAAGATGCAAATTTTGGTTAATTTGGCCAACAAGTGTTAGTGAGAATGCTCTTCGACAATTCCACCTATAGTTAGAAATTAACCTTTTAATATAAATGGTACTCTTCATGCTAGTTGTATTATCTCTTTTGCAACTGTCAATTATAGTTGTCTTAGATTCTCCAGTGATTTTGTTCATCTATACTGAACTATTGAAAACAGTGATGTATTTCAGTTAAAATGGAAAAGACTGTACAGCATAGAAATTAATTTTCCTTGTGGTTCTCAAACATTGATTAGCTCTGGAAGTTCTTATCTCAAACATCAGTTCAATCTCTCTTTCGGCTATAAATGTTGTCAAATGTCAACCTTATATGGCAAATACTTTTTGGGTGCACATGTTTCAATTTTCCGCCGGCTTCTCTAATGTCCTATTGTTTACAGGATTATGATAGTTTTGAGAAATTTCATATAAAGGAAGATTGCGTTAGTCAGTTATTGCCTACTTGTTACCAGGATTTGATCGTTAGAGTTTATGCCAGAGATCCTAAACTGGTCAGTGAGTTGCAACCAAACCGATAGTCCTTTATTCTCCTTTAAACTGCCTGCTTCTCTTTTGCCTCGAGCACACTTCTCTTAGAATTTAAATAAATATATATTTATGAAGAGACTATATATGCTTTGGTAATTTTGGCAAACGTGTTACAGGTAGATGCTGTTACCAATGCATTTGAGAATTTTCAGACGAAGACTTATGGAGAGAAAACGCAAGTGCATGCAATTACTGAAAAAAAGAGACGCTTGAAGTACAATGGTAATTAAATTCTATATATCCTGCTTCTACGAGCCAGGTGTATATTTTGTGAATTATAGATTCTCAGTCTTATTTAGCTATTAAACAATAGAAAATTCATTTTTGTGGAAAGCATTTTTCTGTCATACCAAGCATGTTTATTGGTACTAACAAGGAAGTGTTTTTGCAAGAGCCTTCCGAGTTTTATAGGGCACTCGAAAAGTCGAAATAGAGAGACAATTAGGCGAAAGATAAAAAAGAATTTTGAATTTTGTGATATAAAATAAAAAATGCTTTTGTAAAAAAAATTAGACTAAAAATAAAAGATGCATATGTTGGTACGGTTACACGATGGAAGACGTTCTTAAATTTGCGTCAATGTATCAGTCTTCTCCTCATTCTGAGAAATTTATGTTCCAAAAAATGCCTTCAAATTTTGACACAAATAGAACATGAAAAAAATAAGTATTTTGCTCCGTACCAAAATACTTAGTGGCTTCGTTCATTTTATAAGGATAACAATTCTATTTAAATGTGAAACGGTTCTCATTTGAGAAATGAAGATTTAAGATCACGTTCATTCCCATCTAATACTGCTGGAAACAGTTAAAAATTCCAAATATAAAAAGAAAACTATTAAGCCCTTCACAACAACATACCCTGTTGTGATCCCACAAATATGGGGCCTTTGCTTCTCAAAAATTACCTCCAGTAAAAAAGGTGGGATATTTCTGATATGTAAGAGAAAACAGCACAAACATGGAAAGCAAAGCAACCTTGAAGCTGGAATGAATTAAGAGAATCACAAGATAACTTTTGACCTAAACTATTTGTCATTTTTAAGCTTGAAAGAAAACAATTCTACAATGATTTGATAGAGTAGCAAGAGTTAATGAATATGCTTTCAAGTTACAGGTGAGAACACAACTGAAATTAGGATTTGGGCCTTAAAGCCAGACCTGTCTCAACTTTCTTGATTTCAAATATAAGCATCCTCCACATCTTCAGAACAAACATTTCAGCTTCTTCATCTAATATACTTTGGAGCCTCTCCAGCATCTCAGTTGCCTTGACATGTTCTTGAGTGCTGGAGACGATGTAGTCTACCAGCGTCGGCTCCTCCTCACCAAGGAAATCAGTGATCTTCTTACTGATCCACGGTCTCATCCTTTCATGTAATGCATTCTGTGAAAAGCAAAGCAGATATAAACTATAAACATTCACAGCTCCAATAAACCAACAATAGAAGACCCGAAACTCATTCATCAGTTGTGTTTCTTGTAAAAACAATTTAAAAGGAACCATCATGTTGCTCTTACTATTACTGCGCTCAAAGGAAATGTGTGATTGGAAAGAAAGACCGGCTATATCGGGGGCCAAAACCAATATCAAATGTTTGGCTGACATTAGGCTAAAAATCAATCACAATAGTAATAAAAGCCCTCCAAATCCTAGAAACTTAGTGGGTATGCTATCTCTCACATCTCATCCCACTCTGCTTTATGTTAATTGCAGGAACACATCAATATGAAAATGCATAGCTGTGTTCGCTAGAATTTGCAAGTACCAGATAGCATATAACTCTAAAAATAAAACATATAAATTAATGAAACCATCTCATGTACTAAAGCAAGAGAATGAAACTGACAGATCATTTCTCACCTTGTCATAAGTAGCCCAGTTTATCTCATAAGAGAACAACTCATCTTTGGTCTTTGGAATCATGTCAATCAATTGCTTTGCATCTAAAAGCTTCTGATTATCAGGTGTCTTAACCTTATCAGGTCTAGTTTCCCGAACTCTGCCATGATCAAGGTTTCTACCGTCATCCCTGGTTCGGTTAGTCTCCTCGTCATGCCTGTCCCGATCCCTCTGGCTGGATCTGTCATGAGTTCTTCTGTGTCTCTCCTTCTCTATATCAGGCCTCTCTTCTTTAGCATTGACATTTGAAATTCGCTTTGCAAATTCTGCAGCCATAGTCGGCGATGCTACAGAGATGGAAGGTTGGACCATATGTTCGTCAGCTGAGTAGTCAATTGGAACCAATGGCCTCATTTTCTTTTCTTTTTGAGTATCCTCATCCTCATCCGCATTGAAGAAAGAAGGGACAGCAGCTCTTTTTCCTGACCCTGAGAGGCCAAATTCTAACCTTTTTGTAGGGGCATTGCTATTATGCCTCATGTCTGATGTTGCAGTAACTGCACGCACGGATTCTTCATCAGTCCCATTTTGTGCAACTCCTTCACCTGTTATTTTTCAACATCAAATGTCAAATAAAAAGATAAGAGCAGAATCCATAATAATAAATCTTAAGAAGAATAAACTAAAATAGTTACCCTGGCTTAAATTAAAATGAGCTGTCTCGATATTCTTATCTTGGCTATCAAGATTGTTTTCCTCATATGAAATAACTTTTTCACGTCCATTGGCTAGATGACCAGAAAGGATTTTCAATGCCTCCTCCTGTTCTTTTTTCTGATGTTCCTCGTCTGCTCTTCTCTTAGCCTCAGCAATCTCTTCTTCTTCTTTAAACCTGTCAGCCAAGTCATCTTCCTTCTCTCTCTGCCGTCTTTTCCTCTCCTCGTCACTAGTCCTGTGTTTTCTTTTCCTATAACCATCTTCACATTCACGTTCTTGTTCCACTATATCCCATTTCCGTTCCTGAGCCCTTTCTTTCTCCCTTTCTCTCTCTCTTTTTCGCCAATGTTCCCTCTCCCTTTCTCTTGTTTCCCACTCTTTTTCACGGGACTTGTACCTACGGTCATCTTCGCGGGTCTTGTACTCTCTCTCCTTCTCTCTCTTGGCTCGTTCTTGTTCACGTTCTCTCTCATACCTTTCGAGTTCCCTTTCCTTTTCCCTCTTCAAATCCCTCTCCCTATCCCTGCTTCTCCTATCATGCCTACGATGGTCCGGTGAGCTAATCTCGGCCTTGTCATGCTCACTTGAAGTTTTACTTTCGTTGACATCATCATTTTTTTCTTCTGCAGTGTTTCCAAAATCATAATCAAACTGTCAGTAAAGCATCAACAAAAGAAAAATATCCGAAACAAATAAAGGAAAGATAGGCTTCCTATTGGTCCAAGAAACTAACCATTTTTTGCTGTATCTCTACCTGGTTCTCCATCTTTGAGGTCTTCCGTATATGAGTTATCAGAACCATCTTTAGGTGCTTGTGGAGGTGGAGGTGGAGGTGGTAATGGTTTATTCTTCAGCCTTTCCTCGATCATATCCTTGAGCTTCTCCAAGGCCTCTTTGTCAGCTTGCCTATCTTCGTCAGTGACCAGACCAAAGTTAGCAGCATCAAGATTTTCTTTGTTCCCTTTATCACCACTATCTTGCTTTGATTCTTCTGTACTAGACTCAGGAGGTTCAGCGGTCGTCTTTGGATTTTCATTTGTCTCCCCACCTAATGCACTTTCTCCTTCTTTCTCAGTGCCTTCACTTTCAGATTCTTTGGGTTTCTTTGAGTTCTCTGCTTTCTTTTCAACATACCGTTCAAGGAAATCGCGAGTTGCTTGATTGACATTTAACTGCAATGATACCAAGTCTAACTAAGTTTAATAGTTGAAATTCACTACCCTTTAGTAAGTTGGGGATGTAACATGACTTGAAGGAGAGCACCTACAACATGATTTGGTCGAAATATGCATGCAGACAAAACAAAATGTTCATATTTCAAAACACTGGGGGAAGATACTGTAAATATTTAGTAGACAGATGAGCTGCACAGTCACACATTATCAGATGGAAAAATAAGGTATCATAATTAATTTGTCACTGAGATCTTCATGCTGCACAATAATAGTCCTAAAATATGCAGACATAGAACAAAATTTATTTATTTTGGACAGTTGGCCGTGTGTATTTTCTAGATAAGAAAAAAAATTGAGTGGGTGGGTGGGGATCGAGAGAGAAAGGAGGAAAAGACAGGATCATACCATTAGCTCCTGCCCATCGATGTTTAATTTGTTGAGCAATCTTAATGCACGGAGAACCCCCTCAGCAGACTCAAACTCACAAAACCCAAAACCTTTAAGTGATCCATTAGTCGGATCTTGAGCACGCTTCCAACTCCTAACAGGCCCGCAGAGCTTTGCAAACATTACAGCAGAAAGGTCAGTTAAATTTAGAGCTTTGGAGCACAAACAAGTGAGCAACACAAAGAATTAAGTTCCACCCTTCAAAAAGTAATTGGAGAAATTGCTGAAATGTTAGATTCACTCACCTGCAAAAGAGAAAGCATAAAATCATTTTCTGCAGTGGACGATATCTTGCCAACATAAACTGTTGTTTGTGGTTTCTCTGTTTGAGTAATGCTTGGGATGGCAGCTGGCCTGGCAACAGGAGGAATGATTGGAGGACGCATCATAGGGATTGGAGGGCGCATCAAGGGAGGAATAATGCCAACTGCACCAAGTGGGCGTGGAGGAAAAACTGGTCGAGCCATCTGTGTGTACGGTGATGCATAACGCGGAATTCCTGCATAAATGGACAAAGGAGTCTAGGAATATTTATTAGGCCAAGCTTACAAAGCAGAGACAAGTCTACCACTCAACACCTACGTCTCATTCACAAAAGAAAACTGTAAGGCTGAACAAATGTTATTACCAAACATTACAAGCATTATGAGATGGCACCATAGGCATGAGAACACTCACGAGCTGAACAGATAACCTGAAGGATCAAGATAATAACGTCTATTTCATAAATCACTAACATGTGAATAGGGCTTACCTTATGCATCCACTTGCAAAGAAATCTGATCTAACTGTCCAAATTCCAAGAATGATTTGCAAGGTTTGAATACATTAAGATGAGACTTCCAGCGTCTCATCATCAGTAATGCAATTGATAGCATGATAAAGTATTTTAAGACAATCTTTCCACATGTCAAACATTAACATCATCATGTACAGCAGAAAAATAGCCGGAAGGACAACACAAGCAGGTAAAATGAAAAGATTGTGATACCTTGGTGTATAGGCTACTTGCATTCAGTTGTTAACAAGGTCTGCTGCCAGCATTTCAAGAATCAAGATCCCAACAAAGGGGTAGTACCCTTACTACTAAAAGTAAATCTACTGTAGTACACGCATATTCAGACATTACATAACATAGAAAATTATATGTCCATGGTGAGAAAGATCCACTTTTGGTACTTCACAGAAAATAGATGTGCTCGAAAGCAAATGACCTTGTAATGATAAATGAAAATAAAAACAAAAACAAGCAAACGTGCTCATACCAAAAAAGCAGTTGGAGTACTCAGTAGTCTCTAATGAACAGCAATATGAAGCCTTCCCACCTTTCTCACCGAAACCATTCAAGAAACTGTAGGAGAAAACATCCCGTCATCGTTACCCCTTATCCATTTTTAATACAATTCTATGGCAAACTCCTCTCATCCATAATATTCCCCTCCCAATATCAACAGAATAAAGCAACAAGACAGAAGTACGCTAGCCATTGATACTCTAATTATATCTATAACGTATATACTATTAAGTAATGCGAGGTTCAAATGGTAATCAGAAATAAGAGTTCAGTGATTCTTCTAGAGCCTTAACAAGCATACTTATGTATAACATTTTGTAGTGGTTCAGTCTCAACAGAATAATTTCTAAATAATAAACTTAGTCAAAGCTATTATTAAGATCCCAGTACTGCAGCATCTAGAGCTGACAATCCACAAATCTGAAGTAACTATCCTAAGAGATTAATCGACAAAGACTTCGCCTTTTGATATCACAACAACACAAGTGTATAATACACTGCACAATCTATCATTTCAGCTATCAATTGCTAAATACCCAAGTTGTCAGTACATATAAGAAAGAAACAAAAACCCACCGGGATGAATCATGGCGCCCTGTGGAGCAGGTTGAGGCATAGCATGGTAACCGTTAGGCATAGGAGCGTATGGTCTCACCATCTGTCCAGGCATAGCATAAGGTGGCATAATTTGCGGCGCCGAACCCATCTGGACAGCTCCAGCACCAGCTGTAGGTGCTGGAATCATCGACGGCGGCACAGAATTCACTCCGGGAGGCTGAACCGAAGGATTCGGAAAATTCAATGTTTGCTGCTGCAAGTTAGGGTTAGGAAGAGGCGAGAACATAGGAGCTACACCAACACCAGGTAGTGGTGCTGGTGGCGTCGCCGGACGAAACGACGGAGGTGTACCGGAGTAAGGCTGGATCAACGGCGGAGGTGGTGGCAGAGGTGAAGATAACGACGGTGCCGGAGATGGATCTGATTGCGAGGTTTTGTTGTCAGATTCTGTCAGTGGTTGTGAATTTGCGACGGCGGAATTTTCCGGCGAAGGAGCTGAATCCGCCATGGATGTGGAAATTGGTAGCCGAAGATTGTGGGTTTGGGAGTGAGCCCTAGAATTACTGAAAGAAAGTATTGATTGTATGAATATGTGTTATATATATTTTATAATTTTCGATAAAATATCTTGTTCTAATGTCTCATTTGTTTGCATTTAATGGAGTTATAAATCTTAATTATTCACGTTCAGTAATTAAGTACATTTGATTGTTAGTTGTGAATCAATAAAATTATTTTTTATTTTGAAAAATCTCTTAATGAGTTTGAAAAGTTGTAAACGAATAAGATTTATAGAAGACACTTAGCTATCAGCGTACGAAAAACATTCTTTCTCTCCTTTCTCAATCAAACATCAATTTTTTTCCTTTTGAACTAGTAATTTTCATAATCGTTCCAAGATTTATTTATTTTTGAATTATTTTTCTTGTTTTAATATTGGAGAAACTAGCTCTAATGATATTTTTGATGTATTTGTTGATTATCAAGATTTTTGAATGAGAAATAGTACTTCAAATCACGATTAAAAATAACGATTTTGTATAAACATTTGAAATGTCATCTGAAGTCTATCAAGTTATTTTAGTCGAATCTCGTTTATGATTATGAAAATACCATTTTATATATGAGCGAAAAAAATTCTTCTTTCATACTCTCAATCGTACAATAGAGCTATCTTTTAAAATATATATGCAGACTAATGTGTTGATCCAATTCATTAAATTATGCCTAATCTTCAAGGTGTTGAAAACAACGACGTCCAAAATACCTATCAATGTTGTTTCCTTTAGTGCAATTAGAGACTTAATAAAGCTTAAGAAGAGTTCTTTAGTGCGTTAATCGTATTTGATTTGAAAAGATACAATAATTATAGTTCAAGCATAATTATAAATTAAAGATATAATTTATTTACTTACAAATTGCAACTATGTTGTCAGGACAAAAGAGAAATGAGCGAAACTAGGAGATAGAAGTAAGAGGTGAGAGAAATTGTATAAATATTATCTTCATTGTATTATGAATATACAATTGATTCGTATCAAATTGAATACAATTATATCAAAAAATATTATAGCTAGCTATATATCATTCTGAAAAAAGGCAAACAAAATTAAAAAAAGAAAATACATATTGTATTCATTATATCACAAACATTTGATCTATAATATCAAATATAATTAATACAATATACAAATATAATAGATACAAATATAATTATTTATAATATATACTTTAAAATTACAAAAATAACTCAGCCCATTTTAATCCGTCCAAATATACATAAAACAGCCCATTTGCCACCTTTAGCTTCATCTTTGTTCATCATCGATTCCCCAATGCAGTGTTTTGGGGTAGGTTACGGTCTAGTATTCTTGGTTTAGCAGCAGCATCGATGTTATAGCTCTCTTTTACTCTCAGAGTCGAAGCTTTTCCTTTCGTCTTGCTCTCTTTTGGAGTGGAATTTTCGTTTTTGATCTCTCGATGTTGCTGTAGTTGAATGAAATTCTAAATGGCACGGTTAGTTATTGATTGGAGTACGCTAATAGACGACAAGCCTCCGGCCGAGTTGGTGGTCGCTACTAAAGCAACTCCGATGATTAGCATAGACGACGGGGAAGAGCAAAATGACGAGTTTTCAAACCTAAGGATTGATGAACTGACTGAAAAAATTAACAGGTTCAAAAGTTTGTTGAGCACCAAAGGCCCTAGATTAGTTGACGGGGGCGAGAAACTGAAAACAACAATAAAAAAGTACGAGGCTGAATTTGAGAGGAGAAAATTGCTAAACTCCGATAAGGTGAGGTTCTTAATTAAATTTCGAGCAAAATGGATGTAGAGTATTCATACTGTCGAGTTCAATTAGTTATTTATTGTAATTTAGTTGTTATTGTAGTAGTATTGTTGCTTGAACATCTCTGGATTTTGTATATGTTTGAAGAATTCAGAAGAATTTTGAAACCCTATAAGGGTGCTGCTGAGTCTGTAGTGCCTACAGAACGCGAAATGGATTTTTGGAATTTATTAACATTCTCTAAAAAAGTTACTGGTAATGATCTCGTACTGAAATCATTAAATTTAACCCTCAATAATTTATTGTGCATTATACAAAGTATTTGAAATATAGGAAAGAAATACCATTGAAATATGAACTAATTTCTAAATCAACTTTTGCTTGAGAACTAGTGCAAAAATGTTTTGGTAAATATATTCGATTCATGTATTGACTCCACCTTGTGGAATTTCGAGGAAGGCAATGAATAACTATTAACTTAAGTAATAGCCTATTTGGCGAAGCTTCTAGGAGCATAAGGTGTTTATTTTCTTAAAAAGGTGCTTAATTTGAAGTGGAGTTAATTCCTCAAAAGTTCACTCTAGTTTAGGAAATTCTCTACCGAAATTACTTTTTCTTTAGTTTAGGACAATAAAATCACTGAATAATTCCTTTGTTCCTCAAGTATAATCGCTACCGGTTTAGACATTTAGGCACCATAAATGTTACTAGCATACCATATTTTATTAAATGTTTTCTTTATTTGGTTTGTTTGATCAAGACCCATTTAATTAAAAAATATTTCCTGCAGTATGCTATTTAACCTGGTTGTGGGCTATGTTGAACCACATTTTCATAGCAAATGTGGGGTTTATGTTACTCTGGTATGGATTGATAAGCAAAATCTGCATATTAGTATCTCACAACTATATGGCAGCATTTTAGAATTGCACAATTAGTGTCATCATTTGAGAAAGGCTTTCAAGACACTTGTGAAAATTCACATGAATTGAAAATACTTTTTTTCCCAATGATTTTTGTGGTTTTGATGCATAATCATAATGATGCTGTCAACCATGACAATTGTAGATAATACTTGATAAATGGATGCATAACCGTAGAAATGGCACAAAATTCTTATTTGGAAAGTGTGTTTCCTTGAACAAGCATTTGTCCATTGGTTTATGTAATTGGACATTATTTTCTTACACTATTTTTGACAGGGAACAGATGGATGTGCCTTATTGGGGAGGCATCACTCTAGTTCTATTGGTAAGTCTTTTTTTCTTTGTGTGTGGAGGGTAGGGGGTGACTATATTAATCTTTTCATTTATCCCAAAAAAAGGAAAGCGTTAAGCTTTTCTGTTGTCACAAGTTCTTCTACCAACTAAAGGATGTTCATTACTTGGGAAAACATAAATATATAAACGAGTTTCTAGCACTCAAAGTGTACTCACTGTTCACCTTGGAGGTCTTTAGTGCTGATTTTACCCACTGTTCACTCTTGTTTTATGTACAACGTATATGTGCAGCTACATGGAAGTTAGATGAGTAAAAGATTTGAGTTTCTTTACAAAATATTGTATGAAAGGAAACTAATGGTGGAGAAAATTTTGTAGGTGCAGCTAATGACCTAGGGCAGCGGTCTGCACAATCAGCACCACGCTCGCAATCTGCTTTTGCTGTGTGCTTTTCGAAAAAGCTAGAAGAAAAAGTATATTTTTACTTAAAAAATAAGATTCTGATGAAAATAGTTAATGTTGTTTTGTACTTACTGCAATCCAAACGAAAAACCCATATATATATATATATATATATATATCTAATGTTGCTTTTACTTGTTGATTAGCAGGCTAACTCTAAGGCACCCAATGGTTTCCAAAATGAATTACATGCTCTGAATACGTGTGGCCGCAAAAGGATATTAACCAAAAAGTTTTCTCCAAGAAGAAGATGTAAGACAGAATTGTCTGCACGAGAAGCACCTTTTAAGTCCCCTCTATATATAGATGATCGAGAATTTTATGCTAATGGAAAGACGAGAGATATTTCTACTTCTTCTCCTCGTTATTCTGAAGAAAGTTTCTCTAGCCGTGTCAGGAAAGAGTATGTGAAATTCTTGTCTCCATTGTTATTTTACTTAACTTCACAGAATGTTTTATTCTATGTTACTTATTGTTGTTGTTTTCTTGATACTGCTGGAGTATGTAGCCATTGCTGTTATTTTCTTGATTATTATTGCATCTAAAAGTGTTAACTATAATTGGTGTGCATTTTACCATAAAAAAAGGATATTTCTAAGATGAAATTTTTTAGATACACACTGAACAACCAAGGCTTCTTTTATAATGAAGTGTATTAGTCTCTTTAAAATTTATGGTCAAGGAACTAGGGAAGCAACAAAAGATCATTCAATTAACATTGTCTCTTTGATCCTCCCAACCATTTTTCTGCTTATATTCTTCAATCAGTCAATCTTTCTGCACAATGCTCCTTCTAGTTCCAAGATTGACTTTTGGAACGTGCTCCTACTTCAAAGATATTACTCGGGAATTAGAATTGAAACGTCAAAGGGCCAAAATTTTGAGAGTTTGGTTTGTTCTGTTTGTTTTCATGTCCAAGACAAAGGTGGATTATATATTATAGGGAGTGTTGTAGTAATGTGATTGTGAATGGCACCCAAGGGTGTGGCCTAGTGGTCAATGAAGTAGTTGAGATCCATGAGGTCTTCAAGTGCGATTCCTGGCAAAGTCAAAAAACACTAGGTAATTCTTCCCATTTGTCCCAGTCTTGGTGGATAAAATTACCTGCTATTGGTATAAGGTGACATATCACGTGGAATTAGTCGAGGTGCGCAAAAGTTGGCTTGAACGGCACAGTTATAAGCAAATAATTTTTAAAAAAATGTGATTGTAAATGGGGTAACAGTTCGTGGCATTGGGAACGCTTTATCGCTTAGGTACATAAAATTGTTTCCTTTTCTTGCTGACAAGTAGGAAATATTATAAAAACAGCGGCTCTAAGAAAGTGCTGAAATATATATATACAAGTGAACGAAAACCCAAATAAAATTCCATTCTAATCTTTTAGGGATTCTAAGACGCTAAATATTGATTCTTCCTCATTTACACCAAAAAAAGACATAAAAGCTTACACTTGGACTTGATTTGCTGGATAGCAAACATATGGCATTTCGTTGTACGTTATCCCAAAAAAACATATGGCATCTCTTTCCTTCTATACAGTCCACCAAATATATGCAAGTATGGTATTCCACCATAACTTTGGTTTTCTATTTCTTTTCCTTAGAGAGCAACATTGTTAACAAACAATTGGGTTTTGGTTTTAGGGTACACCCATCTAAGAGCCTGACCTTGTTTAGAAAGATTTGCCAAAGTTGGCCAGTCACATCAGAATGAACATAAAGCTGAGTTTCCCTTTCAGATTCCATATCTGTAGCTGTGACTAAAAAAATAGAGGATAAGGTAATGAGAATCTGGAGCGTTTTCAGTTTCCAATTGAAAACATCTGGAGCGTTTGATTGGTGAAGATGTGTATAATCCCTTCCCCAAAATTGAACTAAAATCTGATCAGAAGGAGGATCTTCACCACATTATTATGGTCCTTATTGAATTTTTAACCATCTGCTATGGAATAATGTGTAGTTTTGTTGATGACATTTTCGCGATCCAGTTGTTTTTTCTTCTTCTTCTTCTCCTTTGATGGAGAAACTCAACTTTTCCTGCAAAAAAACACTAAAAATCCTTTTGTTTTTTGATCTAAAATAGCACTTATTTACCCAATACTTGCCTTTGTGACTTTGTTTGGGTAAAAAGTAGGAAGATTGCATCGTTATATGTTCAACCTAATGTAAATCCATCTACATGCAAATGAGCCATGAATTTGAGTTGTACTGTCCATTCATTTGCATCAGTTGCCTGCCTTTAGTTTAACTTGCATCCTGTTGCTGGACATTTGTAATGAAATTAAGGAATGAAAGAAATATATGTTTGGTTATGGATTTCTCTATTTTGTCAGGTGGAAACCTTCTCAAGCCCATTCTGTCTGTACTTTGAGGCATGCAAATGTAAGGTTTCTCTCATATCTCTCTCCTTCTTTCGCTTTCTTACATGGATTTTTCATTGAATAGAAAATTTGAGGGGTTTGTTGTTCCTTTGTTTGGACTAGGGTTTAACATAATTGCTAGGTTTGACCAATGGGTCAAGTGTGTACTGATGCCAATGGCTACTTTTTCTATGTCAGAAGAAACAACCATCACCACTGCCTCTTTTATTTTCTCTTTTTGTCTGTGGGGATAGATAGTAGCATTGGTTACATGTGGATTGATTAGCTTATTAGAACTTCGTCCAAATATCTCCTACTTGGTTCTATTTTTAGTACTCATTGTAGATATTCTAGGATTCCTGCTGGGCTTTATGAATTGTTGTTGCTTCCCCCTTTATTATGTGTAATTTCTATCCTAGTTATGGATCACACATATAGAGGTTAAAAGTGTACCACTCTTGTATTTTATCCTAATACTAGGTCTGATTATGAGATTCTCTATTTCCTTAGGATGAGGCTGTTGTTCTACTGGATGAGGAGGAACCTGATGTTGTTGAACCAAGACAGCAAGCACATCATGTGGTCGAGAGGTACTGAAATGATGTATTTATCTTTTCATCTGAAACATAGGCACCTAACTTTGGTTCTGGTGGCAATTATTGACTCCTTTGTACCTCTTTCAGCACAAAGGCAACCAAGATATACTTTCCTTCAAGGTTTGTCCTGAATGAGAACGTTTTTGTCAACATGTTACATATAGGAACCAGGCACCGTCTTTCTTTGTTATTGATTGTGCTTTATGTTCCATCTTTTACATTAATTAGGGATGATCCTGAAGCAGTCGAAATCTATTACTCAGATATGGAATCTCTTGCTCCTGAAGCATATCTGTCCTCTACTATAATGAATTTCTACATTCGGTAAGTGAAAGATATTCTGATCCAGTAGTTACGGAATTGATTAGAAATTATATTTCTTGCGTTGAAGTAAGCACATCTAGCTGTCAGTCACAAAATACCAAAAAAAACTATTTTTAAGGTGTTTATTCAAGTGCTTCGTGCTTCTTCAGTCTCGGGCTATATCTCCACATATATAAAACACGAACCTTAGCTGGTGTAAAGGACCAGCTAAGGTTATGCAGAGTTTCCATACAGGAAACAAAACATAAGAGTCTTACACATAACAAACTTTACTTCTGATATAACTTGTGTTATATCACATACTTCTGCATTTCCTGGTCCTCCCTAGATATTTGGATCAGATGCGTTTGCCACTCATGCCTGTGAATTGTTCTACAAACTAAGGAGTTGTTTGGTTGACCCCCTAAGAAAAAATAGCCCTGTCATAAAGTCTGCAATTCTGCATTTATTTTATCCCTGCATAACTAATTCAATGTTTTGTTTCCTGTATGGAAACTCTCCATAACCAATGTAATCCATGGTTTGTTCATCTATGCAGTGCTAATACTGGCACAACTTATGTGGCAATATATTTACTTATTCATATGTGGTAAGACGTGAAAGAAGAGTACAAATATTAGCAATACAACCCTTAGTCAGAAGGCAATCCATGTGGAATGATTTGTAATATTATATAACCATATTTTCATTATTACTGCTCAACAATTCCTGTATTTTTTTTTACTGCTGCATTATAATCCATGCATAACTAGTCCTTGCATGAAACAACCCCTAAGAGTACCTACTAAACAATAATAGATGACAAGCTTACCTTGTAGCTGCTGCTTTTAGATTGGGTCCTCTGTCTGACTTTATTGAATTAAACTTTATTTATGGCATTAAACTGTTTATAACTTTTTTAAATACATGGAACTTGATCAGATCTATTATTATCATTGTTTCAGTTTTCAGTCTATAAGATCATTTTAATATCACGCAAGTGGCTAAATTTTAAATTATGTTCTCTTGGAACTTTTTAATCCCCGGTCCTATTCACGTATGCAACATTTTGAAAATTTGATCAATGCCAATTTTCTGTGGACAGAGAATGACAATGTTTTCATTCTAGTGATTAAACACTATTAATTGCACATGAATTTAAAATTTTTTATGAATTCTTCCTACTAGTGATGTTTGTGGCTTCACATTGACTACCTATGTTTCTTCAGTTGGTTGGAGTCGTGAAATATTCACTCAGATAATATCCGCATTATTGACGTTTCAATGACCATGTCAGCTTGGTACTTGTCAAAAAGTTGATCATGGTAGCTTGATATCTTTGGGTTGTGAAAGTTGAACCTTTTTGCCTATGTGATATACTGTTAGAGTTTGTGTAAGGATATGGCTCTGTTTTAGTAACCTAAGTTAGACATTGGTGCTTTTTATAAGTCATCCTAGCAGAGGATAGAGATAGCTTGACAATCACATTTTCAATCTGGTAAAACCTAATTGCCTTCTCCTCTTGCATAGGCATCTCCAGCAGAAAAAATCTCCCGCAGATGGAGAAAGGTGTGATTATCACTTCTTTAATACATATTTTTACAGCAAGCTCAAAGAGGCTGTTTTCAGCAAGGTATTCATTCTTATCTGCAAATTATTTACTGTGAACTTAACTAGCTGGTTTGTGAATCTTGGTAGAACCTATAGAAATAGAAGAAACTGAAAGAACTTGGTCTCAATAATGGTTTTTAATTGTGGGACAGATATGGAGTTGTATTTTCATTTGCTTTATTTGTAAAACTAGTTTTAGTGTATGTGCGTTGCACATGAATTCGCATTTATTAATAAGAAAGTGTATATAATCAATAATTACATGTAAATATCAATTGATGTCAATGTAGACACAGCACCCATCTAATGAAAAAATAAATATTATATTGATGCAAAAATTGAATTCGAAGTAGTGGAGTATTTCTTGAACTTGCAAGACAAAAGACTTTCGGTGAGTTTGTTATATAGTATTTGTAATTATAGATATTTTATTGCATACAATAAACATATGCTTGGAAGCACTCTAGAATGCCATTGCACGTGTATTTCTATTTTTTGGAAACTGTCCATGTATTAATCACCAAGAACATTCTTTACGAAATTATAGGAAACTGAACACAGTTTGCTATCTCACAGCAAAAACAACAGGGAATAAACCTGTACAGTGCTATGTAAATACATCAAAAAGTGTAGCTAGTAAGCAGCTGATTTATCCCAAGAGGGGCTCTGACATTTGACACATAGGCTACCTCCATCACTGAATCTTTTCTCAAAATTTCTCAAGTTTCTCTCCATTCAAATAGCATATACCTCTTCAGAAACAAACAGCTTGAACGCCACTGCCTTCTGAGTTCTCCCCTTAGCATAGCCAATGCCCCAATTATGATATTGTTCCCCAATTGTCACAGTGGAAAATTCCTCTTTGTATTCAACTAGGACCTTATTCCAGATATGTTTGGTGAAGGGGCATTCCACAATCAAGTGCGCTGAAGTCTCATGACTGATGACACTGTTCCCTTTATCATGTTCAATCATCAAATTGGTGCATCTACAGGTTTACATAGGATTTGACTATATCAGCTTAAGGGACCTCTTATTTTTCATTATTTGCACTCTTTGTTGGATGTAACCATTTTTATTTAGCACATCCATCTTAACTTCTATATTTCTATCTTACATCTATCTAATATTAGGTAAATTTGAATAGTTTTTGATTTCTTAATTTTCAACAGCAGAATGAGAAGGAAGCTTTATTTGTCAAATTAAGACGGTGGTGGAAGGGTGTGAATATATTTGAGAAAGCGTATATATTTCTCCCCATACATGAAAGGTAAGTTTTCTAGGTTGATTTTGCTACTTCCTTGATTCATTAGATTCAGTATTGGTCCGTAGAGCTTTTATTTTGGCCTTGTTTGCAGTTTATCAATTTATAAAACTAAATTATTTTGGTCAGACGATGTTTGTCGATATGGGTCATATGTTGGGACGTATTTATTTTTTACTGTTTGTGTTTCTCTAAGTTGGAAACAACCTCTCTACCTGCTTGAGGGTAGGGGTAAGGTCTGGGTACACTCTACATCTCTAAACCATAACTGGATTGCACTCTTACTGGTGTGTTTTTGCATTTCCCTAAGTAACTAAGCAGATCAGAGTATTTATTTAACAGTCTGTGGTTTGTCCACCCCCCCTCCCCCCCCTCCTCCTCTCCTTCCCCCTCTCGACCATTTGGACTCGTCTACAATAGGTATTTTTTCTTTTACACTTATGTTTCCTTGAGCTTTCTGTTCATGCCCTTATGTTGGTTCTTCTCCTCTGCAGTCATCACTGGAGCTTGGTGATAATTTGCATACCAGATAAAGAAGACCAATTGGGCCCAATCATTCTTCACTTGGATTCATTGAGGCTCCATAGCAGCAGCTCTCTTTTTGGTACTATGAAAAAGTAAGATTACCTCTCATTGGCTGTTAAATGGTCATGGATGTCGTGCTACATGAGTTATTACTTAATTATTTACTATTGTATTGTTAGGAACCACAATTATTGGGGTGTGTGTATGGGCAAATTTTAAAGAAAACCAAGATAAAATGATACTAGTGGTTTCAAGATCAAACTAACCCATCTGTAATGAAAAGCCATTGTTTTAGTTTCAATAACGTCTGGCAGTTGGTGTGTGCCCTTAGTTCTCCACGTTTTGTACACCACATATATATGGGGAGGTTTTCCAACATTACAAATTATTATTTATAGGTATGTTTGGTATGGAGGAAAATGTTTCCGATTTCTTATGTTTGATGGTCGAAATATTTTAGAAAATATTTTCTCTAGGAAAATAAGCCTCTTAAAAATGGGGAAAAATGACTTTCCTAATGGAAGTAGGGAAAATATGTAACATAAGTAACTTCTAAATTCATTGTCTCCTTCCCACCCGCCTAACGTCCCCAACCCTCCATCTCCTTGAGCATTCCACCCCCGCACCCCCATTCCCCACCCCGTCCCACCCTCATGATGTTTTGCTAGCTTACATATTAATACTCCACCAAACACTAGAAAATAAGTAAGCAACTCACTTTTTTTCCAAGAAAATATTCTGTGGAAAGATATCCACCCTTTATGAAAAAATATCCTCAACTTCTTGTATAAAATGATCATGTGTATAAGTCTAATATGACCCATGGAATATCATTTCTGAAATGGAAAGCTTCTTCACGTGTGAGTTTCATTTTCATTCAAAGTTTTAATTTGGAACCAGATTTTTGATAGAAGAATGGAAATTCTTGAGACAAGGAGTAGTGGCAGATTATCCTTTTGATGACAAAATATGGGAAAATCTTCCACAAAGAATCGACGATTACATTATTCCGGTATTCCTCAGTTAAATTTCTTGTCTCTTAGTTTTAAGCATTCTTGTGAAATTTTTTATGCTTATATGTGTAGTCTTTAACTTGTAAGGTAATGGATTGAATTGGCATCAATGTGGGATGTGAATATTCCCTAATTAAATTTTGCTTTCAGAAAATATGGGAAAATCTTCCACAAAGAATTGATGATAACTGATAAGAGTTTTAGAGTAATTCCTCGCCTCTTTCAGTGTTTAAGCATTCTTGTGAGATGTTTCTTGCTTGTATATATGTAGTCAATAACTTACAAGGTAATGAAATTGGTTCGGCATCATGTGGGATGTGAGTTTGTTCTTTGGTTGAATTCTGTTTTCTGATTCATTGCATTATGGGTGTTCAGCTGCAGAGCTGGATATCATCTCTAAGAAATCTCTATGTTTCATAAAATGATTCGTTTGTTATGTATTTTCCAGAGCTTCAGCAATGAGTATATTCGACTCGAACTTATCATATTTTCCGACACTGCACTTAAAAGCACTATGTTATCGTTCTAGTTGGTAGATTAAACTTATTCAACAACACCTAATGCATACCCCATTTTAAAGCAGTAATGTTTGGAAAAGAGTGGTTTCTACAAATTGTAAGTGGGTTGTATTTCATCGGAGTGAACTGTAGTTTTACGTGTTTAGGTTGTCTTAGTGACTAGCTAAAGTTTCTGCTCGATTAGCTCAGATAAATATTTGTTTTCTTTTTTTCTATAACCATGGCGTACGGGCCAGCTTGTGCGGACTTGATTAATTCCCAGGATACATGCTACCCTCTCATAGCCGGGTAACTCTCTACCAAGGCTCGGATAGATAGGAAAGAAATCACCTATAGTTATGCCTCTAGGATTTGAACATGAGACATCATGGTTATTTTTTAGATCTCTGTTTGTCTGCATTCCCCCTTTCCCCCCTTCTCTTTTTGGTTGTCTCAAAGGGGATCCTGAATCCATCTTCAGATACAGACTCTCTGATATCTTCTGAACACATACAAGGTCAAAGGGAGGAGAGTAGGAAATATTGGTTCAGTTCATCAAATTCTTCCTAAGAACTTTCTGCAGTAGAAATAAAGCAAACTTGTAAATGCTTAATTATCATTCCTTCATGGTGACCTCCTTCTGCTGCACTTCTATTACAGGTCCCACAACAAGGAAATGATTATGATTGTGGACTCTTTGTGCTATTCTTTATGGAACGATTCATTGCTGAAGTTCATGAAAGACTTAAAAAGAAGGATCTGACAATGGTATTAATTCCTTTCCCTATATAGAATCTTCTATCTTTTCGGATCTGATAATGCATCAATTTCTTTGTTAGTGATGTATTGATCCATTTTCAGTTCGGAAGAAAGTGGTTTAAACCTGAAGAAGCATCTCGTATGAGGCGGATAATTCGCGACATACTTGAGGAAAAATTCAAGAATCCAAGTGACAAATAGTGTTTCTTGGTCACCTTTTTTTGCAACAACATACCCAGATAACCCCGAAGTGTTTCTTGGTCACCTTTTTTTGCAACAACACACCCAGATAATACAAAAGTGTTTCTTGGTCACCTACCATCCATCCGTAAATAACTGCTGCTCTGTTGACAATCAATCCTTTAAGCAGATCAGGCATCAATGGAGCAACTGCTTATTACCAGCATTCCTGATGTTGGGACAATAGTAGATATTGTAGTTACTCATATACCCTAGAAATTTACATGAGATTCTAGAATCTCAATATACTCTGCCTAGGAAGGTTTCTCTCGAAATGTAGGAAGATTGACAGATAACCTCGTGGGGAACTTCCGTTGGTTGGAGAAGTTCATATCGACCATTTTCTTTCAAAAGCAAAAGCTGGACCTAGTACATTTGGCATGGTAATAAAACTTGGGTGGTCTCTGCAGATCAACATCTTTTGGTCTTTCCCTTCCATTATTAGTACTGCCTGAGTTCAAAAAACTCATACCTTTCATGTAAATGTTTTCTTTACAATGAGATGGAAAAAGATCATTGCTGTATGTGCTTCTTGATGCAACATAGTCTCGTTTTTGTATGTACTTGTGCAAAGTCGTAACCCATTTTAAAAAAAAGAACCTAAATTAAAAGCCACTACATATATCCCTTTAATCCGCATCTACGGTATCTTTAAGTTTAGTCTTTGGTACGCAGAGATGGAATCAACAAAGATATCTTATGGGATGGTAATCTAACATGTTTTGTACTATAGTTTGAATTTTTGGTGATTTAGAATTTTGATGTTAAGCTCAAATTTATCGTGGACGTCCGTTAAGACGTTAGCTATGGAGCAAGTTAGCTCTAACGGTTAAAACAATTCATTTTCAAGGTCGAATGAATTCCGAAGCATGGACAAATCATTTTTTGTCAACGTCCGTCAAGACGTAAGCTAATAATTAGCACACGAAAATTGAAAGTAGATAAAATTTGCATTTACCTTTTGGGGTTCGTTTGAACTTGCAAACGCGCCCGATTTCCTCGCGAAAGGAACGAGATCCATTCCTATGGTCTTAACGGACCTTCATGAAAAATTTTGGTTATTTCGTTCCAGGAAATAAAAATTCATGGACTATAACACACGATATTCGATAAAATCTGTATTATGTGTTTTTGGTTCGTTTGAACTTGTAAATGTGTTTGTTTTCCTCGCGAGACGAATTAGATCCATTGTTAAGGTCTGAACAGGCATCTATGAAAATTTTTGACCATTTACTTTCGGGAATTCAGCGTCACAAAAATTTCATAGATGAAAATTGACAAAATCTGTGTTTTACCTGCTTTAGAGCTTGTTTTAACTTGAAAATGTATTCATTTTCTCCGGGGGACGAACTTAGTCAATTCCTAAGGTCTTAATGGACGTTCATGAAGAATTTCAGTCATTTCGTTTTGGAAATTTCGGGTCAAAATCCATGGATTGTAGCACACCAAATCAGCAAAATCTGCATTTACCTACTTTGGGGCTCGTTTGAACTTGAAAATGCATCTGCATTTCCCTCCGAACGAACTAGATCCATTGTTATGGTCTTAACAGATGTCTGAAAAATTTTGGCCATTTCGTTTCGAAAATTCTGGGTCACAAAAATTTCATGGAACATAGCACACAAAAATTGACAAAATCTGCATTTACCTGCTTTGAGATTCGTTTGAACTTACAAAAGTGTCCATTGCTAAGGTCTTAAAGGAACTCCATTAAAAATATCTGCTAATTTTATTTTGAGAATTCCGGGTCACAAATTCCATTGATTATACACACAACAATCTACAAAATCTGCATTAACTTGCTTTGAGACTCGTTTGAACTTACAAAAGTGTTCTTTTTTCTCGCGGAACGAACTAGATTCATTGCTAAGGTTTTGACATACTTTCATGAAAAACTTCGGCCATTTCATTTATAGAATTCCGAATCACAAACATTCCATGGACTACAGTACACAAAATTGGCAAAATTTATGTTTACCTGCATCGAGGCTCATTTGAACTTGAAAATGCTTCCATTTTTCTTGCGGGAAAAACTAGATCCATTGCTAAGGTCTTAATGGACATCTATGAAATTTTTTGGCCATTTTGTTAAAAAAATCTGGATGAGAAAAATTTCATAGACTATAGCACACAAAAATCGGTAAAATCTGTGTTTACTTGCTTTGGCTTCATTTGAACTTGAAAATGTGTTTGTTTTCCATGCGGGACGAACTAGGTCTATTTATAAGGTCTTTATGGACCTTCATGAAATACTCCAGCCATTTTGTTTGGTAATTCTGTGACACAAAAATTTCATGAACTATAACTGACAAAAATAGGCAAAAACTACATTTACCAGCTTGGGGCTCGTTTGAACTTGAAAATGCGCTTGTTTTTCTTGTCGGATGAACTAGTTCATTGTTAAGGTGTAAATGTACATCCATGAAAAATTTTGATTATCTCGTTTCGGATATTACAGGTAACAAAAATTTCATAGACTATAACACATAAATATTAGCAAAATCTAGGTTTACCTCAATTGGACTCATTTAAACTTGAAAATGCGCCCATTTTTTCCGCGAGATAAACTAGATCCATTGCTTATGTCTAAACGGACCTCCATAGAAAATTTTGGCCTTTTTATTTTAAAAAATCATAGTCACAAAAATTTCATTGACTATAGCACACGAAAATTGTTAAAATTTGTGTTTACCTTCTTCAGAGCTCGTTTGAACTTTAAAATGTGCTCGTTTTCCCCGCGTAATGAACTAGATCTATTTCGAAGGTTTTTACGGAACTCCATGAAAAAAATTCTGCCATTTCACTCTGGGAATTCTGGATCGAAAAAATTCCATGGACTATAGCACAAGAAAATTGGATAAATTTGTGATTTCCCTCTTTGGGCTCGTTTTACCTTGAAAATGCACCTATTTTTTCCACGGGGCAAACTAGATCCATCGCTAAGGTCTTAACAAACCTCCATGAAAATTTCGGCCATTTCGTTTCGGAAATTCTAGGTCACAAAAATTTCATAGACTATAACACACGAAAATCGATAAAATTTTTGCTTACCTACTATCAAGCTCATTTGAACTTGAAAACGCGCTTGTTTTCCTTGCTGGACGAACTAGATCCATTGCTAAAGGCTAAATGGACCTCTATGAAAATTTTTGGCCATTTTGTTAAGAAAATCTGGATGAGAAAAATTTCATAGCCTATAGCACACAAAAATCGGTAAAATCTGTGTTTACTTGCTTTGGTCTCGTTTGAACTTGAAAATGTATTTGTTTTCCATGCGGGACGAATTAGGTCTATTGCTAAGGTCTTTATGAACCTTCATGAAATATTTCAGCCATTTTATTTGGAAATTCTGTGACACAAAAATTTCATGGACTATAGCTCACAAAGATAGGCAAAAACTACATTTACCAGCTTTGGGGCCCGTTTGAACTTGAAAATGCGCTTGTTTTTCTTGTCGGATGAACTAGATTCATTGCAAAGGTATAAATATACATTCATGAAAAATTTTTGTTATCTCGTTTCGGATATTACAGGTAACAAAAAATTTCATGGACTATAACACATAAATATTAGCAAAATCTATGTTTACCTGAATTGGGCTCATTTAAACTTGAAAATGCGCCAATTTTTTTTGCGAGATAAACTAGATCCATTGCTTATGTCATAACGGACCTCCATAGAAAATTTTGGGCTTTTTATTTTAAAAAATCCTAGTCACAAAAATTTCATGGACTATAGCACACGAAAATTTTTAAAATTTGTGTTTACCTTCTTTGGGGCTCGTTTGAACTTTAAAATGTGCTCGTTTTCCTCGCGGAATGAACTAGATCTATTTCGAAGGTTTTTACGGAACTCCATGAAAAAAATTCGGTCATTTCATTCTGAGAATTCTGGGTCACAAAAATTTCTTGGACTATAGCACAAGAAAATTGGATAAATTTGTGTTTTCCCTCTTTGGACTCGTTTTATCTTGAAAATGCACCTATTTTTTCCGCGGGGCAAACTAGATCCATCGCTAAGGTCTTAACAAACTTCCATGAAAATTTTGGCCATTTCGTTTTGAAAATTCTAGGTCACAAAAATTTCATGGACTATAACACACGAAAATCGATAAAATTTTTGCTTACCTACTATTAAGCTCATTTGAACTTGAAAACGCGCTTGTTTTCCTTTCTGGACGAACTAGATCCATTGCTAAAGTCGTAATGGACCTCTATGAAAAATTTTGGCCATTTTATTAAGAAAATCTGGATGAGAAAAATTTCATAGCCTATAGCACACAAAAATCAGTAAAATCTGTGTTTACTTGCTTTGGCCTCGTTTGAATTTGAAAATGTGTTTGTTTTCCATGCGGGACGAACTAGGTCTATTTCTAAGGTATTTATGGACCTTCATGAAATATTTCAGCCATTTTTTTTGGAAATTCTGTGACACAAAAATTTCATGAACTATAACTCACAAAAATAGGTAAAAACTACATTTACCAGCTTTGGAGCCCGTTTGAACTTGAAAATGCGTTTGTTTTTCGTGTCGGATGAACTAGATTCATTGTTAAGGTTTAAATGTACATCCATGAAAAATTTTGATTATCTCATTTCGAATATTAGAGGTAACAAAAATTTCATTGACTATAACACATAAATATTAGCAAAATATATGTTTACCTGAATTGGGCTCATTTAAACTTTAAAATGCGCCCATTTTTTTCGCGAGATAAACTAGATCCATTGCTTATGCCTTAAAGGACCTCCATAGAAAATTTCGGCCTTTTTATTTTAAAAAATCCTAGTCACAAAAACTTCATGGACTATAGCACACGAAAATTGTTAAAATTTGTGTTACCTTCTTCGAGGCTCGTTTGAACTTTAAAATGTGCTCGTTTTCCCCGCGGAATGAACTAGATCTATTTCGAAGGTTTTTACGGAACTCCATGAAAAAAATCCGGCCATTTCATTCTGGGAATTCTAGGTCAAAAAAATTCCATGGACTATAGCACAAGAAAATTGGATAAATTTGTGTTTTCCCTCTTTGGCTCGTTTTACCTTGAAAATGCACCTATTTTTTTCGCGGGGCAAACTAGATCCATTGCTAAGGTCTTAACAAACCTCCATGAAAATTTTGGCCATTTCGTTTAAGAAATTCTAGGTAACAAAAATTTCATGGACTATAACATACGAAAATCGACAAAATTTTTGCGTACCTACTATCAAGCTCATTTGAACTTGAAAACGCGCGTATTTTCCTTGATGGACGAACTAGATCCATTGCTAAAGTCTTAATGGACCTCTATGAAAATTTTTGGCCATTTTGTTAAGAAAATATGGATGAGAAAAATTGCATAGCTTATAGCACACAAAAATCAGTAAAATCTGTGTTTACTTGCTTTGGCCTCGTTTGAACGTGAAAATGTGTTTGTTTTCCATGTGGGACGAACTAGGTCTATTTTTAAGGTCTTTATGGACCTTCATGAAATATTTCAGCCATTTTGTTTGGAAATTCTGTGACACAGAAATTTCATGGACTATAGCTCACAAAGATAGG